TTCTACTTCACCTTGCACGTTTTGTCTCCTTATTCTTCTAGATGCCAAGGAATATTCTATAAAACCGAGGCAAAATATTTCAATTATTTTCTTTTTCAAGACAGCTGGAATAGCGAGTATGTATTTTAAGGCATTTCTGTCTTTTTCAAGATTCCTTTTGTAAGATGAGCGAGCCGTTCTGTGGTAGCTAGAGCACGTACCGCTGCGCGCAGCCTGTGCGCGCGTGTGCGCGGGGCCCTGTGGCTGAGCCTAGTTGAAGCACGTGCGCCCCCTGTCCGGTCAGGAAGCTTGGTCTGTTCTTTGTGTTGCTGGCAGAGAGCAGGCCTGTGGGAGCAGCCTGGCCCATCTAGGTTGGCGGGGGATTCTCAGAACACGAGCTCTGCATTGTGGTTTTCCTTCCTGCGCTAAGTCTCTACTGATCTTGAGTGACAAGGAGACGTTGGAAAAGGAAGAACGTTTTCATTCTCAACAGCGTGCATGCCTTAGAGCAACTTTTTCATTTTTCAAAGAATAGTACTGATCCATTTAGAAAATTTCTAGGAAGTAGGGGAGGAAGTGCACCCAATACACAATACAAAACTTTAACCTATTTAAATATCCATTAAAAGGAGTTACTATTTTGGTACCATTAAATTTAATCATGAACTTAATGGAGTCTACTGTTTTAGGAATGATACACTTTTCATCTGCTTTAAAAAAAAAAAAAAAAAAAAGCTTTCAGGGTCTGTCACACTCTTGCGATGAGGCCGTTGGCGTTGGCCATCCGATAGCCTGGTGCCGCTCAGCACGCTGCCCCGAAGCTGCCTTTTCTCTGTTGTCTGTGCACCAACAATGTCAGCTGGGAAACCGAGTATCAGAAACACTAGAGGACACCCAGCTGCATTTGAATTTCAGATGCTACTTAGGCTAAAAAATTATTCACTGTTGATCTGAATCTCAGTGTTAACTGAGTGTCCTGTATTTTTATTTGCTAAATCTAGCAACTCTAAGAATGTCTCTGCTCTCGAACATGTTTATTACACATTCTTTCCAGTGCATTGTTTTAGATTTATAAGACATGACCTGTTTTCAGAGAAACAGACATGGGACTCAGATTTTTTAAGCACACCGTCCAGGAGAATCTGTTCTCTGAGTCCTTGGAGACGGCCCTTGGACCCCAGCAGTTCAGCCTGTTGCCCTTCGGTGAAGTGACGGGAAAGAGTTCAGTGAGAGAACGCGTTGCTGCTGCAAGCCATTGTACTCGCCCTGCCTGTGGCCTTGACTTTGACTTTGACAGCCTCAGAGGCAGCTGGGAGTTACAGAGTGCCTTTTGCACTACAGGCGGTGGCGAGCTGGGGTCGGCGGTGTCCTCCTGAGCCGTGAGACAGACTCAGGGTAGGAGACCTGGGTTCAGTTCTGAATGCTGCTACTGAATGGAAGTGTGTAGGGTTCAGCAGGCTCTTTAGCCTCATCGTTTGGAAAGTAGCGTCACGAGCGCTGCCTGACCAGTTTCAGTGCGGCAGGTTTCTCCAGCACCCCAAGGGCAAGTGCTTGTCCAGGGCCCAGAGAACTGCGGGAGAGAGACAAGGGACCGGCAATGCTGTCCTCGGCCGTGGGGCCCGTGGCTCAGCCAGAACGGCCTGCCGGCTTCCCGAGCCCCACCTGGTACCGTTTCCCTCATCGTCGACATTTCCCAGGCAGCTGGCCCATCTTTATTGTTTGTTTGCATTGACACTTCACTTCGTATGGCAACAAAATCCAACGTGTATGTGAATTAACTTCTGAACACGACAGAAGCTTAAGGCTGGCTCTTGGGGTTGCTCACCTCCTGCCCCGGGGGTCCAGCATCGGGCAGCACCTGCCCAGAGAGCTTTCCCTTGGAGAGTAACTCATTGCAGGAAAAAAGGGACACTTGAAATTGAATCCGATTCAAATGGGAAACTACTAGTGAAAAGGTTTCGATTGGAGATCTATCTTGAAAAATGGAATTGCAGATTATGAAAGTAAACTTATTTTAGATTTAATAAAATCTGGGTTATCTTGAAAACTCAATGCTAACTTTTAGAGTGAACAATTCTCTGACAAAACTATACTATGCATAATGTCTTTACTTCATGCCTGGCTTTTGCAGCAGGATCAAGAGAGTCTCCCCCGCAAAACAGCATTTTTTAATTAATACTTGAAGACTTGGTCAGTTTTGCCAAGGGCCTTTCTTAATCTAGAGTATAATTATTTGAATAGAATTCTCTTTTCGAGTCTCTTGTTATTTCATTTTCCTTCACTCGTTAGCTGGTCTTTAACTGGACACAACCCTTCACAGTCCGTGGCTGTATGTAATATCAGAATGGTTCTCCAGCGTCACTTCTGTCTACTTCTAGAAATTCCGCATCTTGTATAAGAATTCTAATTCCCGTTTTCAGGTGATTGGCACTTGTGTAGAGATTCCTCGGGAGAGGATGGCAGGAATCTTAAGGGGCTCACTCTGTGCAGCCACGTGCTGGGCCGTGCCTGCCAGCTTCCAGGCCGCCTGAACGACAGGTGTGTGAGGTGACTTCACTGTATTTGTGGCCGATTCCTAAGTGGTTGTTTTGATGTTATCCTAACACATGTAAGTACAGGGATGCGGATGATCAATAACGCGTGGTCGTCAAAAACCCCGAGCCCCCATGGCTGGTGGGTCATAAAAACAGTTGAGTGCATGACTGAATGTGTCACGTAATCCTAAATTCATTTCTCCAAGAAAATATCTAGAGATAAGACACTTGTGAGACCAGTGAATATAGTAAGGGAAACGTCATATGGCTGGCACCGCAGGGCGTGAGGCTTCCCGCAGAAGGGGAGTGAACAGCAATCGCTAAACCATGATGCTGATTTTCTATAGCAATGTGCCAGCATTCACATGGCCAAATGACTGTTGTTCCTTTTGATGAAATTAAGTTAGCACCTTAATTTATGCACTCAAGAAATATTTGTCGAAGACGTCAGTGTCTTTGACCCAGCGGGGGTAGCATGGAGGGAGGGCATTACATAGACATTTCCCGGAGTGCGGCCCCCTTCTTTCTCAGATGTTAAGATCCAGCATTATCTTAATCAATGTACTTTGTTGTCCCTGGGACATTTGTCCTAGGCCACAACATAAATTTGTAAAACATCAGGACACTTGCACTTCTCAGTGCTGTCGGCGAACACGTGTGACCTGTGCAGCGTGCTCAGCGACTATGGCCCTTTTAAGAGACCTTAAAAGGCTCTCAGCACTGCATCCATCCCTTGCAGTTATACGTCATCTTACAATACCTGTGTTACCTTTTGGACCCATTCCATTCTAGACTGAGAGCTTTTCAGAATAAGATATATTCACCAAATAACACATTTTGTTCAAAATAAAATAATGAACAGAACATCCCATCACGGAAAGACTTAGTAGAGGCTCAGAAATCAGGCGGCCTCCCTCCCCCTCTATCTACACGCTTCGTTTTTCACTCACTGAATCATGGGGGTGATGAGCGTTGGCTCACACGGCTGTCTTTCGGTGTCTGTCTCGTGTCCCGCAGATAAACATGCCATGTCCCGTGGATGAATGGGCCACGGTGTGTTTAGCCGGCCTCCCACGGGTGGGGCGAGGTCGCCTGCTCTCTTCGCTATGACAAGCCACGCTGCAGCAACTCCTCTGGTCCCTCCTTTGCCACATGTGTGAAGTCTCGGGAACAAAGGATAACTGCATGTTACGATTTGTTAGATATCCCCTGTTTGCCTACCAGAGGGGCAGCATCAATTTTTACTACAACCAGAAAGACTGTAGAGTGTCTGTAGCACCATGCTCCCTGAAATAATGCCTCATCAAACTTTTTCTATCCTAGCCACTTAAACATCTCCACAGAGTGGAGATTGCATTGTTCTTATTAAAGGAAAACTCTTTTAAGTATTTATGGTGGTAGCAAGTTTTTTTCCTTTTGAAGATAAATTTTAGTTTTTAGAAAAAGTCAAGCCTTATGCAGAACATAGATTTTAAGTTGGCTGTTGATGCTGGTTTCTTTTTGAATTTTGTTTCGTTTGTTTTGAGAAGAAGGTTAGTGGAAAACCAGTCTCACTTTTAGATAAAACTAATATTCTTAAGGGACTTATAAATTTTCACAGAAGTTAGTATCAAAAGAAGAGTTTTAAAAACGTCCAAAGTAATGGCACTGTCAATTTGGGTAAGATTGCAGCTTTCCAGGGGGAATTATTTGAATTGACCAATCCTTGAATGTGTATGTTCCGGTATGTTTGTTTATTTAAAAAAAAAAAAAAATCAGCCACTCCGAAGCTTTTAGCTCTACTAGGTTTCTTTCACAGGAAAGTACATCAAAAACAAATCATTTAAATTTTGGAGGCTGAATTTTTAAAATTAGGTATTGCCTGCTTTACGATGTTCATCCCTCGTGCCAGAAGAGGTTGTTTTCGCCGCTCCTGAGCAGGCATGATCAGGGTGCTATTTACAGGAGCCTACGGCCTTCCGCATACCCGATCACATTGTTGATATTTCTCATTTCCTCTTCTGATCTGTGCAGGGTGATACAGATACAGCTATCTAAGATCAAGGATGTCAGCTAGCCAAATGCAGTTAGACATTCATTTTTAATGTTCGTATATTTAACCTCAGAACGACTTTTGTTTTACATAATAAACTAATCTCCCTATTTATGTTTTCCTGAGAGTGTTATCGAAGGCTCAAAGGCCATACAAATCTTGTACTTTATACACACTGATTTGGAGACGGCAGACTTGACTGACGTTCCATGTGGTATAGATCAGACCCCTGAAAATGTATGCGCACAGATACTATACTTTCTTAAAACATCCATTGGACCAATTGTCCGCTATAGTTTGGTCGAAATTCCACTGTCTCAAATAAGCCGCCTTGTTTCTGTTTTCTATGACCGATCGGACGGCGGGCCCCTGCGCGGAGCGCGAGCGAGGGGCGGGCAGCCGCGGGGAGCCCCGCCTCGGCCCCAGGTAACCCGCCCGCCTGCTGTGTTCTGCAGAGAGATGGTCAACGCATGGTTTGCTGAGCGAGTCCACACCATCCCCGCCTGCAACGAAGGCGCCAGAAGCCGCTCCGAGTCCTGCCCGTGTCCCGCCCAGCCACGTCCCCGCGCGGAGAGCGCCGCGCCCGGAGCCCCAGCCAGGAAAATCTCTGCCTCCGAGTTCGACCGCCCCCTGAGACCCATCGTCGTCAAGGATTCCGAGGGGACTGTGCGCTTCCTCTCTGACGCGGAAAAGAAGGCGCAGATGCCGCTGACCCCCCCGCGGTTCGGTAATGAGGACGGGGACCAGTGCTCAAGACTCTTGGAATTAGTGAAAGACATCTCCAGTCACTTGGATGTCACGGCCTTATGTCACAAAATTTTCTTGCACATCCACCAACTCATCTCCGCGGACCGCTACTCGCTGTTCCTCGTCTGCGAGGACAGCTCCAACGACAAGTTCCTTGTCAGTCGTCTCTTCGATGTGGCGGAGGGGACCACCCTGGAGGAAGCTTCCAACAGCTGCATCCGCTTGGAGTGGAACAAAGGCATCGTGGGGCACGTGGCCGCGCGGGGGGAGCCCCTGAACATCAAAGACGCCTACGAGGTAAGGCGGCGCCGTGAGCGGAGGGGGCGTTTGAAACCCAGATGGCACGGATTGCACCCTTACTGAAAAGTGGAGCTGCTGGTAGTAACGTTTCCGTCTTGTAGATGCCGGTTTCGCGGCGGGCGGTCGAGCCCAGGCGCCGGCCCTGGGCGGCGCCTGGTCTCGCTTCTCCCCCGCGGTGGGCGCTTAGCGTCGCCCGCCCCGCAGCTGCGAGCCCATCTTCTCGCCGTTGCGCGCGTCTCCTCCGTCTCTGTTATCTCCGCGTGAACGTCCGAGGTTTCCGCCGAGGTTCTAAAACGACAGGGGCAAAAACCATCCACAAAAAGGGGCCTGTTGACTTATTTATTCATCCATCTATCCATCCATTCATCCATTCAAAATCACGTTCATTCACCCAAAGTCCCTTGACACCATGGTCTGATTTTCTTTCTTTCTATTCTTTCTTTCATTCTTATTAAGCAAATAAAATCATGGATGTCTTTTAAAATGGAAATTTTCACTCTAAAATATTCTCATGGAAAGATTTGATATCTCTTCCACTTCTGCTACAGTTATATACAGAGCTTTAATTATGGACTTAAAGTTCATACTATATAATTTTTCAAATTTCATGCCTAAAGTGGCCCTTTTCATGAATATAATGACAGGTCTTACCCAAAGCACCTCAACTGAGTGACACGTCGTCTGTGGACGAAATGAAGACCAGCTGTTGCCACTCTCTGACCCCTGGCACAGAGGGTCAGAGCTGCTCTGCAAGGGGCCTGCAGTGCCCCAGCCCGCGGCCCCCGGGCGCCTGATACGGAGCCTGGGGCCCAGTCATCTTTATAAACATCGACTCAGCAAAAGTTAGACGGACAGTAGCTAAGCTGGACGCGCAGAGGAGAAAGCAGACCCTCATAGACACCGAGGAGAATGCTAGGTCCAGGGAAGCAGGAGAGGACAGGGGTTCTGGGGTGCGGGAAGGTGGTCTGAGGGAGCAACTCTTGGTGACGGGCCCCGGGCAGTAGGTAGGATGTGAGCGGATGGAGTCGTGCGCACGCGGGATCCCCACGTGCAGCGGCGTTTAAAGCCGGACAGGGAAGGGGGACCGTGGCGCGTGCCTGGAAATGGGTGGGTCGCAGTCCAGACCCCGAGGAGCTGGAGGGGCAGGGCCCGGACGTGGATAGGTTTTGAGTGCCTGGCTGAGAGGCGTGGCAGGGCCGGGGGAGTGATTACGGGGGGTTCCAAGGGGGCCCCGCAGGGCAGGCCGCGCTTCAGAAAGACGGCTTTTATGGGGGTTGTAAAATGAAGCGGAGGGGGAAATGCTGGAATGTCGGAGGAGAAATGAATTTAACAGTATGAGGAAGTGAGATCTATCTGAAGCAGAGCCCAGGCCTTAAAGATGGCGAGGGGGAGCTCTTCCAATGAGGAAGCAGGGTCTGCTGGCCGCGCAGCTGGGAGGGGCTGGAGGTCAGGCTGAGCGAAGAGCCCGGGAGGCCTCGAACCTTGAAGGCAGGTGAATGAATCAAGAATAGTCACTAGCGAGAAACACCGAGGGTAGGAATTTGAGGAGAGATGTGATAGTTTAAGTAGGTTAAATCCTGACATATTTTTCAGAATCCATTCTATACAAGCGATCTATTCAAATTTGATTCTCCGTGACGCGGTCTCCGTGCCCCCTCTGACCTCTGTAATCACAGCCACCATCACTGACCCCAGAAGGATACTCCGGACACAGCTGCAGAGTCCCCTTCTCGTGTTGGGTGACAGATGGGTTTCCACACCTCGATGGCAGGACAGTCCCAACTATTGAAGGGCTGTTCCTACGTCTCAGCCTCGCTGAGCGCGCCTTCATTTGTCTGCGTGGTCTGAAGCGTCTCCCCACCTGAGGATTTCTTGACTAACATGCATTTGTTGAACCTGCTTCCTGTCTTTGAATGCGGGCCACGTCATTTTTTGTTTTGCGGTTGGTGATGACTTCACTCGCGCACGGCCGTCTGAAAGAGCCTGCATTCCCCACTGTCCTGCTCTCAGGGCGAAGGCTCTTAGCCTGCGATTCCTGCGTTGCCACCTGACCTGCGGGGCCCTTGACCCGAGTGTAGAGTGGCCCTGAAGAAGTGACCTGTGTCCCAGAGATTTCACTGGAGGTCGTGGGGTTGATCTTCGTCATATCATTGACATGGGTATGAACAAGGAAGTCAGCCCCACCAATAGTTTGAATAATCAAAGGACTGCCTCATGGCCTTTTGTGGAAGGAGCTAGAACGCGAAAATGCGTTCGAGTGTTTTCGAGCCTTGAAACATGCATCTGTAAAAACGACACTCTGCCACGGGGTTTCTCAGGCTCGTTTGACCACAGGACGCTTTAAAGGTGTGTGATGTCGCCATGGGAAACTGCGAGGTGGCCGTGAAGTATAGGCATGCTCAGGCTGAGGCTCAGAATAAAAAATAGTCTCATGGATAAATAGTTGTGAGAAAAATCAACATTGCATTCCCTATTTAAAACTTTGTAACAGAATGGCATAAATTGGAGGATTCAGCTTTTTAATCACTAATAAAAATAACACATTTGTATACTCAAAATAGAAGACAAGACCCACAACTTGGGCCAGCAATTCTCAGTTAGACCACAGATCCCCATGCAAGGTCAGGGGGTCGGTGCCGCCCATGTACCGAGGGTCGGTCCCACCCTGTCTGCTGCATCAGCCCATCCATCGTCCATGCCACTTTCTGGAATGTGGCTGGGTGTGTTCATAATAAGATATGAACACAGGATCATCAAAACAGCACTAGAAATCTGTTTGGCGCATTTCTTACATATAAAAACTAGGTATCACCCAATATCTAGGCTGGATCGTGTGCCGGTCAGGGTTCTTTAGAGACACAGCACCGAGAGCAGAGGGGGAGAAGCTGCTCCCCCCGCCTGCCCGGTGCAGCCGGGCCCTGTGGGCTGGACCGTGCCCACTGCACTGCTGAAGGTCTGAACCCGGCCCCCCAATGCGAGTGCTGACTCCTCTGGAGACCCGCGGAACGACGTGCTCCCAGCTGTCGGGCATCCCTGTGCCGAGTCAGGCTGACATATGAAAGCAGCCCGCACAGGTGGCCTTGAACCCCTAGTTCTGCATCCTACAGAAGCATAAGCCCCCTGAAGACTTCCCGTGTCTAAGGATTCACACGCAGCGCACCCCCCCCCCACCCCAGTCAACTGGAACGCCAGCTGGGACTCTCTGCTGTCCCCACAGGACAGCCGCTCCCTGTGCGCCCTGATTTTGGGGACATGATGCTGGGGCCCGCGGGGAGGGCCCCCCCGCACAGCAGCAGCCCCCCCGCTGGGTCCCTCCCTCGTCATGCTTTCTCCACGCGGCGCATCGCCGCCTCGCACCCTTCAGCCTTGCCTTCCGCCTTATCGAGGCATATGGGCTCTTGCCAATGAGTTTCTGACGAATACAGTTATTTCCAAGATGAATTCTGGGAGGAAGCAGGAGCCCTAGCCACTGTTTCAGTTCGGATGAACCCGGCCATCTGTCGCCGCCCAGTCGCGCCCCAGGGAACACAGTTTGGGAAGCGCTGCCTGTGCCTTGCTCCACGGGCTGATCGCCTTCAGGCATTGTCTTCAAATGCCGCTCGGTGGGAGGGAGCCAGCTGCCGCTCTGGCAAGTTCAGCGTGTTATTTCCTTTTTTGTTTTCTGTTCTTTTTCATATCATTTCAAACTCACAGAGAAGCTGCAAGGCCCGTATAAGAAGCTTCCACATACCTGTTGCCCATTCCCCAGTTGTTTTGCCCCATTTGCTTTATCGTTTTTTTCCCCTGTATATAATGCATATAAATAATATATGCATGTTATTTTTTCTAAACCATTTAATAAGTTGGAGGCATTTTCACTAAATATTCCAGTAAGTTTTCAGTATCTATTTTCAACAAAAACATTCTCTTACACCTTTGTAATTTACCAAAATCAGGAAATTTCAAGGTACAACGCTGTTACCTAAAAGTTTACGGTCATGTTTGGTCAATGGCCCCACGAGCGCCCTCCGTAGCGGCTGCTGCCCTCTGAGCAAGGGCCTCCTCCAGGGTCGCAGCTGCGCACACTTGTCGTGTCTCCGTCGCCTCCCTCACCCCTGGAGCCGTCTCTCGCTGTTTGTTTCTCTTCCTTGACACGTGCTTGGGAAGAACACAGGCCACCTCTGCCACGGAGCCCGCCCCTCCTGAGCAGTCGCAGCCCAGGCCGGCCTAGACCCCAGGCCTCGGTTCGCCGGCAGTGAGCGCGAGGCATGCCCTGCATCCGCCACCCGCACAGGGCGGCGTCTGGGCATCACGGTCACGGAGGGGACCGTGAGCGGGCTGCAGTCAGGACTGCGCCTGGCTACCTCTGTCGCCCGGATTAGACACTTGGGCCTAGCCCTCTCCTTTATACATTGTTCTTGTAAAGTGTTCATTAACAGCATCGTTGCTGATGAGGCATTTTTGTTCATATCTTGACATTAGCTTAGAGAATGAATAGTTCACTACGAGTTGATTGTTTACTTCTTTAATTCATCCACATCAGTATCCTGTCTGCTTTCTTTAGATACTTTGCAGCGCGGTGTGTTATTTGAGAGCTATGTCTTAGAAACACTCAGCCAAGATTTTCTCTATGTCTCCATATAACTGTGAGTGCACTGGCAGAGAAAGCAAAACTACAGTAGCGTTTACTTAGACTGTAAAGCATTTATACTGATTGCCCACCATAGCATGACGTTTCTTTTGAAGTTGCCTTTAATGCCACAATTCGTTCTCTTAAGGGAAGATTGGCCTCGTTTCTGACCCCAATTGAGTGAATCTGTGTAATCATTTACTTCGTTTACAGCTTTGGCTTTGCATGACTTTAGGCTAATTAAAAAAAAAAATAGAAATGACCTTCAAAGATGAGGATTTTCCAGTGTGGCCATGGCGTATTCTCTGAAGGGAATTCCAAGAGCAGGCCTGTGAGCGCAGAGATGCTATTATCGGCAGAGCCCGTGATTTCCCAGGGCCGTCACTTCGAACATGCGTCCCAGGGCTTGTGTCCTGGCGTGCGGCTTCCATTCTCACCCTCTCCCACACGGCGCCATCTGTCCGTTTCCTCTGGAATGTCCCCCCCACCCCACCTACAAGATTGGCTTTAAACGATAATAAGCTGAAGATGATCACACTTGAGAACGGCAATGTCCTTTGTTAATGAATCTCTTCACTAATTTAACAACTGCTTGGGAGTTCCTGTGCTCACGATAGGGACACACTGATGGACTAAGAAAGGCCTGTCACCGAGTAGACAGCCCCCCTGTCATGTCCCGGGCGCACGGGGTGACAGGGCGGCCTGTGCCTCTCTTGCTGTGCCCACCTCCAGGACTGCACGCCTGTCAGTCCGTCCTGACTCCTGGGTGTGCGTGGTGCGCTTCCTTAGAGGGGAAAGGCATCCCAAGGGTTAAGGAGTTGTTTATAGTCTGATAGAGGCCAAGGAGCCTCTTCCCTTCCTGTGTTTAAAAAAAAAAAAGGCAGAGAAGGTAAGATTTAAATTCCTGTGAACACCTGGGATAGAGGGGCAGAGGTGACCAGTCATCACAGGGGAGGTGAAGGTGGCATCAGAGAGGCGCGTTGGAGGCGGGGGGGGGGGGGGGGGCCCATGGGGAAGAGCCGAGCAGAGACACTGGGAGGGGGCAGCGGGGCAGAAGGACGGGGCGGGGGCCGCAGAGGGGCGACGGTGCTGCGCAGGGGAAGCTGCCGCTTTCCCTGGTTTTAGGTAAGGCTGGCGAAAGTGGTGCATATTTTGGATTTCCTTTGTTTCTGAACATTTTGGCGGAGGCTTTATTTTGGGGGTTCTCATAAACATTAGCTTCTCAGAGAAACGTAAATTTGTCTTGTTCAAAAATGACGTGAACTTACATGATCTGATGCCTTTTGCAACAATAAAATTGTCATTCAGAGCAAAAAGGTAGGTCGAAGGGTAGGTTTCTCTAATCTCATAAGTTGGAAAAATCAGATCAATCTTTGAACGGGCCAGTCACTAAATTGAATTCCTTTTTTCCTTACAAGGATCCTCGATTCAATGCAGAAGTTGACCAAATTACCGGCTACAGGACACAAAGCATTCTCTGTATGCCAATTAAGAATCATCGGGAAGAGGTAAGCCAATGTTCTGTTTTATAAAAGTTCGTCTGAAAACATTTTTCTTTTTTAAAAAAAACTTGCACATTTATGAAATAACACTATAGTGACGAGTTAACCATAAAGTGCTTAAATATCCTGCTTGATATTTTTAATTTAGACTTTAGTTTTAGGGTCGAATCCTGATAGAGACTTTACTGTGACTTAGAAGTAAATTTCAGGAATTAAATTTCCTTACCAGCCCCACCAGCCCCCACTGCCCTCGTGACTTTATTCTGTCCAAGATATATAATTGTGGTTGTAAGCAACTTCTTTCACATATTTTAAGTGATTGAACAATGCTCCTTTCATAAATGGTTATCCGGTTACAAGGATCCTCAGAACATTTTAAGGTTCACCTGCAAGTTTGTTCTAATTGTTGCAAATGTTTTCAGTGTATTTATTGGGAAAAACCCGCGTGTAAGTGGACCTGCGTGGTTCAACCTGCGTTCTTCAAGAAGGGGAACTGCTGGGTCACCTGGTGGGTGTGTGTTTCATTCTGTGAGAGACCCCCAGGCCCTCTCCCAAAGCGCTGCCCCCGATGTGCTCTTACCAGCGATGCATGAGGATGTTCCGGCTGTTTCCCGTGCCCGGCAACCCTGGCATTGCCAGTGTGCAAAATGTTAGCCATTCTAGCGGGGATGATTTAAATCTGCTTCCATGGATGTCCAACCCGCCCTCAGCCACGGGCCACCTGACCCCTTACAAGTCTGATCCGCGCGGGCTCCGACCCAAGGCCCTGGGCTGTGGCTGTCCTGGGGTCCCTGCCGGACCCCCCCAGTGTCCTCCCGCCTGCCTGCCTGCCCCATGCTCTGCCCCCCTCTGCGCCTCCGTGTACCTGGCGGGGGCCTGTGCCCCTCACTGGTGTCGCTGCCCCCTCGTGCCAAGCATTTCATGAGAGCAGAAACCGCCAGGAGCTGCCCTGGAGGCTGGAGGACCGGACTGAAGGGAGGGCCCCACGCGCCGCTTTAACCCGCGGGCAGGCCCCTCTCCCTGCCGCCCCCGCCCCCGCCGGCCCGCGGGCCCGCCCCACATCACGTCCTGTGAGAATTATCTCTGCAGAGAAGAGAGGGATGAGAAACAGAAGAAAAGCCTGCTCTCAGCCAGGCTGTGGTCGTATAAAGAAGCAACTTGGCTGCCAGAGGAGCAAGGCCGCCCAGAGGATGCGACGTATGACTTCCAGATTTATCTTCCCATTTGTCGCTGTGTAAACAAACCCGGGGCAGGGTCAGCTTTTGTCCACACGCACAAGTCTTCTCTCTCTCATGAAGCTTTTCAGATCGAAATGGAGAGTCGGGGTAAGGGCTGGGGGAGGGGCGGTCAAGGCGTCTGCCTCTGGGCTGAGCCTGGTCTTCACCCCTGACCTGTCGCGGAGCCAGGTGGAGAGGCCCTCCCAGGGGTTTCCCGCCGCGCGGGGCTTGGAAGGGCCTGCCTCCCGGCGTCGAGGGGACGGCGTGTGCCGCCTGCGAAGGGCCGCGCCTGGCCCCTGACACCCCGGAAGGGAGCAGCGCAGGCCAGCTCCCCATTCTTAGAAGAGACAGCGCTCACGCCGCTTTTCAGACAGGAGTGGCCCAGTTGTCTGCGGGGCCCCGGCCACAGACTAACAGCCGCTGGGGACCCGCGATTACTGGCACAGTCCCTGATGTGACCGGTCCACCGTCCAACAAGCGCCAGGCCGCAGAGAAAAAGGCTGTCCCAGGTTCTCCTCATAAATGAGGCAGCATGAGCCTGGCGCCTTCTCTGTGCGGGTCCAACGCCAGGGCCAGCGAATTACCAGGGAACCCCCCGCACGCGTGAATACCGACTGTCTATTCGCTGTTTACAGGAGGCCCTGGTACCTTTTGGTGACCCCGGTTCCTGGGGCGCAGGCATCAGCTCTGACAAGCTGTGTGAATGGAGCCGTGAGATATCACACACAAGAGGCTGCGCTGTAACATAGCGCAGAAAATTCAGGAAGACTTTTAAGATTTGGTAACATATATCAGCTCATTTGTCTCCTCTTCTGAGTTTCAGAAGTCCTTTTCCATCCACCTGTAGTCTTCAGGGGGGTAGATACAGCGACACCTTTTCGGCACTCAGGAGCATCGATACTCAACTTCTGTGGCAAATATCTTTTTAAATGGTAGAGCGTAACTTTTTAGTCTTCCCCGCTCTCCGCTGCCTTCTAAGAGAAGAGGGAACGTGGGGGGCTGGGGGACTGGAGCAGCTAGAGGAGGCTAAAGTAATTTGTCTGGAAAGGTCAAAGAGCAACTGGCTAGAGAAAAAGAAGAGAAAAAAGGCCCAGGGCACGGGGAGAAGAGAGCCGGCCTGGCTGCGCGGTGGGGCGAGGACCGCGGGCTGGGCCTCCGGGCGTAACGGCCCATCCTGCAGACACTCTGCCAAGGACCTGGGACACGTTCTTTGGTCCTCATCCCAGCCGCAGGAGGTCGTTACCTGTTTCCCCTTAACAGGTGAGGAAACAGGCGGGACATTCGGGGCTCCCGCAGAGCGCCCGGCCGCCGCCTCCAGGGCCATAGCTGGGAAGGGGGCTCCACGCGGGCCGCGTGGCTCGGCGCAGAGGAGGCCCTCAAGGCGGCGGAGGGCCCGCTGCGCCCAGGGCTCCGCGGGGCGGCGGGGCGGCGGGGCGGAACCACTGCGCAGAGGGGCTCTTTCTCAGACAGAGGTAGAGGGGCAGCAGTGAGAGGGATGGGGGCTCCGGGTCGCAGCCCCCGCGGGCTCCTTGGAGGCCTCCCGCCAGGGACCAGAGGACGCGGCCCGCGGAGAGGCGGCTTCGGGAGCGTGCGAGGCACTCCCAGGGGCCTGTGCTCCCCGAAGAGCCGCGACGCCCCCGCGCACGGAGAGAGTCCCTCGCGGCCTGCGTGCCGGTTTCGGGGGCCGCCTTTCAGGGGCTTCCGCGCGTCGCGCTGGACTGCGGGGACCTGCGCGCCTGGACCAGTTTTTATTTTTGTCACTCCTATGAGTTATTTCTCTGCCAGACCATTTTTTTCCTCTTCAGGAAAGGAGGGCAGGGAAAAGCAGCTCCTTCTCCGTAGCTCAGGCGACCTATTTCCGCAGCGCCGCCCTCCGGGGCCTCGCTGCTGTGACTGGGCAGAGGCGGCCTGGCCTGCTCGGCCCAGGGGCCGCGCGCGAGGCTGCGGGAGGCGGGGCGCCGCGGCGCCGCGGCGCGGGGAGCGCTTCTGCGGCCCTGAGCTGGCGCGTGGCCCGGGCCTTCCGGGCCCAGAGGCCTGCGTTGTCCGCGCGAATGTCAACTGCAGTCACGGAGGGGGAGCCGGATCTGGGGTTCCTGCATTTCATCACGTGCGATGATATACTCATACTTCCTTGATGCACATGTAACAGGAGTTGTGATAAATTTTTGAACAATTTGATAAAGGAGCATTGTAGTTAAACATCTAATTACTTATATCTTCCTTTGAAAAAAGCCTAAAAGTTTTCCCAAAATATCAGCTAATTTTTAGATTTTTATAAGATAAATGCTTTGATGAACCAAGAGATGTAATGCCTGCCAAAAAAAAATCACAAAATCAAGCATTAATGGAATAGATGTGCAATTCCAGCTGGGATGTGCCAAGAGAAATGTTTGCAGTGTACAAAAGTGAGTTTAAGCCATATTGGCTTTATCGCTCATCTTAAAATATTCTCATGCCCCCCCTGAATTGCCTCGTTTGGACAAGTAATGACCGCCTCACTGTGACATGTAGGTGCTCGGTTTGGGCAGCGAGGAAATGAAACGCATGTCGCCAGGAAGGCACTCGCTTTAAAATCGTTTTCAGTGTAGATGTAGAACTTGAACACGAGGTGACAGGACACATGTTAAGTGAGTTCAGTATTCAACATGCAAGTTCAAGGGACAGGCCGTGGGTTCGGGGAATGAGGGAGGTGGCAGGGAAAGGGTGAGCTGGGGTCCCCGCAGAGGGGCCTGCTGGGTTGGCCCGCAGCACGGGGCGCCTCGGGCGGTGGGAGCCGGCCTGCCGCTGGGGCCTTCCCAGCTGGACACGCAGGCCTGGAGCAGGTCGCGCAGTGGCTCTGTGCCTGAGCCTTCAGTCTGCAGTCAGACTCGATGCCCATACGGCTGCACAAAGGAGCAGAGGCCAGTTGCAGGCTGCTGGTTGATCGAGACCTATTTTAGTCTTAAAGAATTGGCTCATTGTGTGTGTGTGTGTTTTAAACGTATAAGTCGTTTGTTGCATTTATTCCCCTGCGATACTCTTTCTCGTAGCTTTGATTTAGAAAGAAAGGTGCCCGCAGAGTTTCTGCTTGTTTTGGATGGGACTGTCGTCATGCCCACGAGCTTCACTTCTCCCTTTTCCACTTTGCCCCTTAATCATAAACAAGTGTGTTTTACAAAGAAAACAGCAGCCCTTGTCCTAAGGCACAGCATACCTTTAAAGCAGCAGGTGGAAGCGCCGAGCTAGCAGGTTAAAGCCGCGCGGCCTCCCACCTGGCGCAGGAGGAGGAGAGAGGGCGAGTGGCAGGAAGCTGCAGGCCCGGGAGCGCGTTAGCGTGGCCAGCGGGCCGCCCCTGTGTCGCTGCGCGCCGCCGACGCGCTGCGGCCTGAGTGCGCGTTTCCGCGATGGCGTCTGTCTCCATCGGAGCTGTCAGGGTGACCATTGCAGCACTTGCCGGAATGCGTTACGTCTTCAGTGTGACTGGTCACTGATCCATTTAACTTGGAGGAGTTGTACCTAGGCCCTGAATAGTGACCGGAGTGGCCTGGCACCGGCATACGCAATTTCTTTGCATAATGCCTGACCCAGTCACTTAACGAGACCCTCGGATGGATTTTGAGTATTGAATAATTTCCGTTTTGTCTTTGGGAGTTAAGGGGGTTGGCAGAGAAAGTGCTGCTCTCAATAGATATCTGTGCAGACGTCCGTATCCATCTATAAGGGCCAAGACTACCCAGGTAAAGTGCTTTATGAACTGTTAAGTACTCAATTTCTTCTTACTAAATCCTCACCTGAACATCCCCTCTTGTT